TACTTGTAATCTTAGCACTTCGGGAGGCTGAGGTGGGAGGATCACTTGAGCTCAGGAGTTGGAGACCAGCCTGAGCAACATAGTGAGACCTTGTCTCTATTTAAAGAAAAAAAAGGCCGGATGCGGTGGCTCACGCCTGTAATCCCAACACTTTGGGAGGCTGAGGCGGGTGGATCAAGAAGTCAAGAGATCGAGACCATCCTGGCCAACATGGTGAAACCCCGTCTCTATTAAAAATACAAAAATTAGCCGGGCGTTTGGCACGCGCCTGTAGTCCCAGCTACTCAGGAGGCTGAGGTGGAAGAATTGCTTGAACCCAGGAGGCAGAGGTTGCAGTGAGCCAAGACTGTGCCACTGCACTCCAGCCTGGCAACAGAGGAAGACTCTGTCTAAAAAAAAAAAAGGTCACATCAAGAGTTGAGCCCAGGCAGCCCAGTTGCAGCATCCTGCTCAGCCACCCCGTATTGCTCACTACATCAAGACACAGCCTCCAGTCTCTGTTGCTGCTCTCTATACTAGCAGCCAAGCCTGATTACCTAATGTCCCCTCCATGCCTAGCAGAGAGCTACCTCTTACTCTTCCTTACCAATTGCATCAACTGCTACCTTCTATCTTTCTTTTTCCTTCTATCTTCCTTTTATTTTGTCGTAGAGATGGGGTCTTGCTATGTTGCCCAGGCTGGTCTCAAACTTCTGGCCTCAATCAATTCTCCCACCCTGACCTCCCAAGGTGCTGAGATGATAGATGTGAACCACTGTCCCCAACCCCTTCTCCCTTTTTCCCATCCTTCTTTTCTCCTCCTCCCCTCTTACTCTGGACAGAGTTGCTTTTCTTTTTTCTTTTTTTGTCAGAGTTTTGCTCTGTCACCCAGGCTGGAGTTCAGTGGCACTGTCTTGGGTCATTGCAACCTTTGCCTCTCAGATTCAAGCAATTCTCCTGCCTCAGCCTCCACAGTACCTGGGATTACAGGCATGTACCATGACACTTGGCTAATTTTTGTATTTGTATTTCTAAATTTTTTGACATGGAGTCTAGCTGTGTCACCCAGGCTGGAGTGTAGTGGTGCGATCTCGGCTCACTGCAACCTCTGCCCCCTGGGTTCAAGTGATTCTCCTGCCTCAGCCTCCCAAGTAGCTGGGACTACAGGTGCATGCCACTGCACCCAGCTAATTATTTATATTTTTGGTAGAGATGGGGTTTCACTGTGTTGGCCAGGCTGGTCTTGAACTTCTGATCTCAAGTGATCCACTTGCCTCAGCCTCCCAAAATGCTGGGATTATAGGTGTGAACCATCCTGCCCCACCTAGAGTTGCTTTTCAAATGTTTAATTTCTTATGTGATATTTTAGACATACAATATTTTAGGCCAGGCGCGGTGGCTCATGCCTGTAATCTCAGCACTTTGGGAGGCTGCGATGGGTAGATCACGAGTTCAAGAGATCAAGACCATCCTGGCCAACATGGTGAAGCCCCATCTCTACCAAAAATATAAAATTAGCTGGGCGTGGTGGTGGTGCATGCCTGTAATCCCAGCTATTTGGAGACTGAGGCAGGAGAATCGCTTGAACCTGGGAGACAGAGGCTACACTGAGCCGAGATTGCTCCACTGCACTCCAGTCTGGGTGCAAGAGAAATACTCCGTCTACAATATATATATATATATGTAAATATATATATACACACACACATATTTTAGCTATAAAATATTATATAATATTTTACACAAAATTTTGTATTTATGGCTAAAATATTGATGGGCTTTTGCCATGTTCCCCAGTGAAACCCCATCTCTACTAAAACACCTATGTACCCATCACCGGTTTAAGAAGTAGTAACATTTAATGCTGTGTGTGGGAAGAAAAAATGGCAACCTTGTGGTGATTGTTGAAGCCCCAGCATTATTCTGCTCCCTAATTGTACTCTCCCTCCTAGAAGTAATAGGGATCCTAGCTTGGTAACAATCATTTCCATGCATCTGTAGAAACACAAAGTTGCTTTTGACTGACAGTAAGTGAATTTCGAGCTTGATTCTTGACAAGGAAACATAGCAGGAGGTAGAGCTAAAGATGGAGGTGTAGCTTGAATGGAATTTCTTCTGGAAATATATTATGTTGAAATATTTCAGACACAGAAAGGCATATATAGAATAATAGAATAAACCTCTTGCTTAGGAAATAAAACATTAAAAATAGTACCCCTCCCTCCCCAAAATTGTCCCCAAGGTTTTCTTCCCTGGTTGCATTATTATTATTATTATTATTATTTTAATTTTTGGAGATGGGGTGTCGCCATGTTGGCCAGGCTGGTCTTGAACTCCTGATCTCAGGTGATCCACCCATCTCGGCCTCCCAAAGTGCCGGGATTACAGACCTGCGCCACTGCGCCCGGCCTTGCATTTTTTATTTTTTTGAGATGAAGTCTTGCTCTTTTGCCCAGGCTGGAGTGCAGTGGCACGATCTCAGCTCACTGCAACCTCCAACTCCCAGGTTCAAGCAATTCTCCTGCCTCAGCCTTCTGAGTAGCTGGGACTATAGGTGTGCGTCACTATGCCCAGCTAATTTTTGTATTTTTACTGGAGATGGGGTTTCACCGTGTTGGCCAGGATATTCTCGATCTGTGGATCTCGTGATCCTCCCGCCTTGGCCTCCCAAAGTGCTGCGATTACAGGCATGAGCCATCGCGCCAGGCCTGTATTTCTTTTTTTAGTAGAGACCATATTGGCCAGGCTGGTCTTGAACTCCTGACCTCAGGTGATCTGCCAGCCTCAGCTTCCCAAAATGCTGACATTATAGGTGTGAGCCACCATGCCCAGCCTGATTGCATCCTTCTAGATGAACTTCCCTCCTGAATTTGGGGCTTATCATTTTGAGCTGGATCTTGGGGGAGAAGCAGTGGTTTGGGGTCGGGTAGGGTTCGGAAGGGGCATCACCAACAGAATGTCAGGGTAAAGACCCAGAGGAGTGAGTTTGGGAGGCAGGTGTTGGCATGATTGGCAAGCTGGGCACCTGCCTGGGAGGGGCTGGGACAGTTAAGTAGCCAGCCCCACTTTTCTCTGGGCCCTGGCTTTCATATTTCCCTCTATCATTTTCCTAATCACACCGAATCCTAATGATCTGTTAGCTTGACTCCAAGATCCTGAGGGTAGGGACCCTCTTGGTCGTCACTGTCACCCCAGTGGCTAACCCAGTGGCTGGCACAAATGTTAAATATTAAATGGATACATGAGTAACTGAGTAGATGATTTCAGCCTGCCTGGTGAGGGGGTTGCTGGTGGCAAGAGGACAGTCTGAGTGGAAAGTGTGAACAAGAGCATTTTGGAAGAGAATTGTCATTTTATTACCATTCAGTACAGTCACACCTCTGCCTTCCTCACTGCGGTCCAGCAGAGACCTTGCTTGAATGCGTATCAGTCAGGGTGAGAAATCTGCTGTGTGGACAGGTGTGTGATAATGCGGTAACCAGATGGGCTTCTCGTGGCTTCCACCACCGCCAGTGCTGTTCACCACCCTTCAAACTATTAGCTCTGATTGGCATTAAAGGAATAATCAGCATCTCACAGAAGTAGGACCTATTTATCTTCCTTCAAAACAATCCTCAAAGCCTGTGAATCCCCTCCAGTGTGCTCATTATGCGGTTAGCTCAGTTTGCATTCCTAGATGCCCCGCTCAGGGCTGGGCATGCTTCGGTGGGTTGTGAGTGGTAAGAAGTCCTTTTCTCAGAGCTGCATTCCACGTGAGGCCTAATAAACGATAGAATGTGTCTGCGATTAGTGGCATCTCTGCTTGCAGACTTAATGTGCCGAAGGCTGCTTGTTGATTTTCTTGCACCGTTCAAAACGATGCAACAAGCTCTTTGGGTCAGACCTTGGTTTAGCGAGGCCCCTCTTCCTTTTTGTCCCATGAAGAGGACAATGCAGTAATGTAAAAGAGCCCAGTGGGTCGAGCTACATCTATTACATAAGCAAATCTGAAAAGGTTTCCAGTCAAGATCAAATTATTATTCTTATTTTTCTTTTTTTGAGACAGAGTCTCACTCTGTCGCCAGGCGCCAGGCTGGAGTGCAGAGGCGCAATCTCGGCTCACTGCAACCTCCGCCTCCTGGGTTCAAGCCCTCAGCCTCCGGAGTAGCTGGGACTACAGGGGAGAGCCACCACGCCCAGCTAGTTTTTGTATTTTACTGGAGATGGGGTTTCACCTTCTTGGCCAGGATGGTCTGTATGTCTTGACCTCATGATCTGCCTGCCTCTGCCTCCCAAAGTGCTGGGATTACAGGTGTGAGCCACTGTGCCCAGCCTAAGATCAAATTATTAAAAGATTTGAGCAGGTCAGGTGCCTGCCACCATGCCCAGCTAATTGTTGTGGTTTTTTTTTTTTTTTTGAGACAGGGTCTCATTTGTCGCCCAGGCTGGAGTGCAGTGGCTCAATCTCAGCTCACTGCAACCTCTGCCCCTCAGGTCCGGGTTCAAGCAAATCTCCTGCCTCAGCTGCCTGAGTAGCTGGGATTATAGGCATGCACCACCATGCCCAGCTAATTTTTGTATTTTTGGTAGCAATGGGGTTTCACCATGTTGGCCTGGCTGGTCTTGAACTCCTGACCTCAAGTGATCAGCTTGCCTTGGCCTCCTAAAGTGTTGGGATTGCAAACGTGAGCCACTGTGCCAGGTCCTGAATTTGCAGAGTTCTGATAAATGAAGTTTTGTTCTTCCACTGTGCCCTGTAATTTGGTAATTCTGTAATTCAGTTCAGATGCACATGCTGCTGAGTCAGGTTGGGGCCTCTACTATTGCTCTCCCTCTCCAGCCACCCCCCAACCCTGGTTTTGGAAGAGTAGGGAAGGCCCTGGACTTGGGATCTGGCATAGGAGGGTCTGGCATTAAAGCCTGGTCCTGAAGCTTTACTGGGCAAGTGTTCAAGTGATCTTTCATTCACCAAGCACTTGCTGAGTGTCAGCACTGGGTTGGAGATGCTGGAAAGATGAAGATAAATAAGACATCATACTTACCTGGCAGGGGAGAACCATGATCACGAAGGTGGTTTGTTTTCCCAGGGTGAGGCTTATCCATTGCACTCCGGATGTGCTGACCCCTGCGATTTCCCCAAATGTGGGAAACTCGACTGCATAATTTGTAATAGTGGGGGACTGCATTCGTGCTTTCCCCTGAATAAAAAACAAACAAACAAAAAAACCATAATTTCCTCCCTTTCTTTTCTATTTTCTTTTTGCTCTTTCTCTCCCTCTTTCTTTCTTTTTTTTTTTTTTTTTGAGATGGAGTTTCGCTGCTGTTACCCAGGCTGGAGTGCAATGGCACGATCTCGGCTCACCGCAACCTCCGCCTCCTGGGTTCAGGCAATTCTCCTGCCTCAGCCTCCTGAGTAGCTGGGATTACAGGCACGCGCCACCATGCCCAGCTAATTTTTTGTATTTGTAGTAGAGACGGGGTTTCACCATGTTGACCAGGATGGTCTCGACCTCTTGACCTCATGATCCACCTGCCTCCACCTCCCAAAGTGCTGGGATTACTGGCTTGAGCCACCGCGCCCGACCTCTCTCCCTCTTTCTTTTACTGAGAGTTCTTTTAACTGTATTAATCAGAAAAATATAAAGTATTTAGAATAATAAAATGAACACCCGTGATAAGAACCATCCAGCTTAAAAAATAAAGCTAGGAAGACTTAAAAATTTTTTAGAGACAGAGTCTCACTCTGTTGCCCAGGCTGGAGTGAAGTGGCTTGATCACAGCTCAGTGCAACCTCCAACTCCTGGGCTTAAGCAGTCCTCCAGCATCAGCCTGCAGAGTAGCTAGCCCTACAGGTACACACTACCAAGCCTGGTTAATTTTTAAATTTTTTGTAGAGATGGGGTGTCACTATGTTGTCCAGGCTGGAGTCAAACTCCTGACCTCAAGTAATCCTCCTACTTCAGCCTCCCAAAATGGCTAGGATTAGACAAGAATCACCACTCCCAGCCTAGAAAAACTTCTGAGACTTTTCCCTTGGTGCATATCTCAGTTCCTTCTCTCCCACTGAAAGAAAACCTGTGTTGTGCCTTCAGTGTTTATCACCCGTCTGCATTTTTTTTTTTTTTTTTTGAGACACAGTCTCACTCTGTCGTCCAGGCTGGAGTGCAATGGTGTGACCACTGCACTCACCGCAACCTCTGCCTCCCGGGTTCCAGTGATTCTCCTGCCTCAGCCTCCTGAGTAGCTGGGATTACAGACACCTGGCCACCACACCCAGCTAATTTTTGTATTTTTAGTAGAAATGAGATTTCACCATGTTGGTCAGGCTGGTCTCTAACTCCTGGCCTCAGCTGATCCACTCACCTCAGCCTCCCGAAGTGCTGTGATGACAGGCGTGAACCACGGTGCCCGGCCCTCTGCATGTCTTTTATTTGTACTACCTAGGTATGAATGCTTAAATAATATGTAGTGTTACACACTTTAAAAATTTCTATGAATTATACTACCAAAATCTTTTTTTTTTTTTTTTTTTGAGATGGAGTCTCACTCTGTCACCCAGGCTGGAGTGCAGTGGCGCGATCTCAGCTCACTGCAACCTCCACCTCCTGGGTTCAAGCGATTCTCCCTCCTCAGCCTCCCGAGTAGCTGGGATCACAGGTGTCTGCCACCATGCCCGGCTAATTTTTGTATTTTTAGTAGAGACCAGTTTCACCATGTTGGCCAGGCTGGTGTCAAACTCCTGACCTCAGGTGATCCGCCCGCCTCAGCCTCCCAAAGTGCTGGGATTACAGTCGTGAGCCACTGTGCCCGGCCATCAAAATCTTATAACTTGCTGCTTACTTAAAACATTTTAAGATTTATTTATGTAATACATGTAACTCAATTCATTTATCTTTGTCTTTTTTTATATTAAGGGTAATTTTTTATAGAAATGTATAAACCTTATGCAAAAAAGTAGATAAATAGTTAAGTGTACAGCTTAATCAATTTTCATAGTCAACACACCTGTGTAACCACACCCAATGAAGAAACAACTGGCCAGGCATGGTGGCTCATGCCTGTAGCCCCATCACTTTTCAGGGGCCAAGGCTGGTAGATCACTTGAGCCCAGGAGTTCAAGACCAACCTGGGCAACATGGTGAAACACTGTCTCTACTGAAAATACAAAAATTTAGCTGGGCACAGTGGCATGTGCCTGTGGTTCCAGCTGCTGGGGATGCTGAGGTGGGAGGATTGCTTGAGCCTGGGAGGCAGAAACTGCAGTGAGCTGAGGCCTCACCATAGCACTCTACCCTGGACAAGAGTGAGACCCCATCTCACGAAAGAAGCAAATTAAAAAAAAAAAAAAAAAGACAAACAACTCTATCTGTACCCAGAACCATCTGAGCCCAGCTTTTTTTTGTTGTTGTTGTTGAGACAGAGTCAAGTTCTGTCACCCAGGCTGGAGTGCAATCACACAATCTCGGCTCTCGGCTCACAGCAATCTCTGCCTCCTGGGTTCAAGTGATTCTCTTGCCTCAGCCTCCCAAGAGCTGGGATTACAGGCACATGCCACCATGCCTGGCTAATTTTTGTATTTTTAGTAGATGGGGTTTCACCATGTTGGCCAGGCTGGTCTCAAACTACTGATCTCAAGTGATCTGCCAGCCTTGGCCTCCCAAAGGGCTGAGATTATAGTAATGAGCCAGTGCGCCCAGCCTTTATATCATCTTTTTATTTTACCTGCACATCAACTCCATGAGGAAGGAATTTCTATTAACCCTGTTTACAGATAAGAAATTGAACTCAAAGAAGGGAACTTCCTTTTCTTTTTTTGGGGATGGAGTCTTGCTCTGTCACCCAGGTTGGAGTGCAGTAGCATGATCTTGGCTCACTGCAACCTCTGCCTCCTGAGGTTCAAGCGATTCTCTGGCTTCAACCTTCCGAGTAGCTGGGATTACAGGTGCCTGCCACCATGCCTAGGTAATTTTTGTATTTTTAGTAGAGATGGGGTTTCCCCATACTGGCCAGACTGGTCTTGAACTCCCGACCTTGTGATCTGCCTGCCTTGGCCTCCCAAAGTGCTGGGATTACAGGTGTGAGCCACTGAGCCTGGCCAAAGTTAGGGAACTGTAAGGCCACATAGTGAGGGCTAGTGCAGAACCTCCAGGCTTCACTCTCCCTAGTTGCTGTGGTCTGGCACCGTCTTGTAATGGAGATGTGTGTGAGGGTCCTATGAAGCCAAATCATTAGAAGCCAATGAGATAAGTAACTGGGATATTATTTGAGGTGCACTGGCAGCCCCAAAGCTGAATGAGATGAATTCCACTACATGGGTTGGAAGGAGTCACAGAGAAGCCCTGGATTGAACTGGATCTTCAGAGAAGTCCATTTAGAGTGATAGTACCCATCTCTGATGGTCCTAGTGAGAATTTAAGGTGCTTTAAGCATTAGGTAAAGCTCCTGGTACTCGTACATATCAGGTGCTCAGTGAAGGGCTGTTGAAGGAATTGGTGAACGTATGTAGGACTGGAAGAACTTCGCATGGAGCCAGGGGATGGACAAAATGACCTCTCTAGGCCCTATTAATCCTGAGTTTGAGTAGATCAGAGGAGAGCCTAGAGTAAAGGGCCAGCTCCCCAGCCCCCAGGACTGCAGAGGGGCTGCGAGAGCAATTCCTTCCTAGACAGGGAAGAAACAATGTCACAGCACCCTGTCACCCTTTGTCCAGCTCTACCCTGATCTCCAGATCCAGCAGAAGGAAATGGGGTCTGGGACCCACAACTCCCACAAAAACACCTAGGCTGGGGGATGGGCTGGGGAGGTGTGTGTTTGTTTTGAAAGCCTAGATGAGGAGGAGGAGGAGGAAGAGAAGGAGGAGGGGAAGGGGGGGAGGGAGAGAGGGAGATGGGGTGGAATAAAGGGGGAGGATTAATTTGCAGCTTAGATTTTAGGGCCAAGGATTGAAGCCTCTTCCTGCCCTCCTCCGCTCCTCCACTTGGTTTATCCCAAGGAGTTGCCTTGGGGCTTCCGTGATGGCGGCGGGAATGCGGGGAAGCTGTGGGACTGGGAGCCGGAGGCTAGATGGGGGCAAAGGAGAGTGAGGCTGCTCACAGATCCTGGTGGGCTGGGTTCTGGCAGAAAACCGTGGGCTGACCAGCTCCAGGGCCCGGCTGAGCCTCAGCAGGTTCTACCAGAGCTGGCTCAACAGCGGCACCTGCCGGCTGGGGCCCTCTCTGCGGGGCAGGGCTCCACCGCCCTGGTAGCTCCGAGGGTGAGTCACTCCTGGCCTGGTTCTGCGGCCTCCCCAGCTGTCGGATCAGAAAATGTTGCGAGCTGAGGAATGTCCCTAAGCGGAGGGCCTCTGCCCTTCCGGCTGCCACCTGTGCCCCTAACACTACCCTGTTCAACAAGGACACTGACCGAGGGCCAGCGCTGGGGAAAAAGAGTAAGGATGAAGCCACTCACTTTAGGGAGCTCCTGGTTTGGGTAGTTCTTTCTCTTTTTCTCTCTTTCTCTTTCTTTCTCTCTTCTCTTTCCCTCCCTCCCTCCCTCCCTTCCTTCGTTTCTTGAGACAGAATCTCACTCTGTCGCCCAGGCTGGACTACAGTAGGGCGATATCGGCTCACTGCAACCTCCGCCTCCCAGATTCAAGCGATTCTTCTGCCTCAGCCTCCCAAGTAGCTGAGATTACAGGCGTCTGCCACCACGCCCAGCTAATTTTTGTATTTTCACTAGAGACGGGGTTTCAGCTTGTTGGCCAGGATGATCTCGATATCTTGACCTTGCAATCCGCCCTCCTCGGCCTCCCAAAGTGCTGGGATTACAGGCGTGAGCCACTGCACCCGGCCTTGTTTGTTTGTTTGTTTGTTTGTTTGAGACAATGTCTAAGTGTGTCACCCAGGCTGGAGTGCAGTGGCATGATCACGGCTCAATGCAACCTCTACTTCCTGGGCTCAAGAGAGCCTCTCACCTCAGCCTCTTGACTAGCTGGAAATGCAGCCACATGCCACCACACCTGGGTAATTTTTATTTTCTTCTTTTAGAAATGAAATCTCACTATGTTGCCCAGGCTGATCTGCCCACCTCAACCTCCCAAAGTGGTGAGATTACAGGGATGAGCCACTGTGTCCAGTTGTTTTGCTATTTTTTGTAGAGACGGAGGTCTCCCTACATTGCCCAGGCTGGTCTTGAACTCCTGGGCTCAAGCAGTCCTCCT